TGTGCCTGGGAGAGATGCTCAGTTTAACATCGAACATTAAATCTTGTGATTTCCTGCCTCCGCCAGCCATCAAAGAAACACCTCTCTGCTGCTGTGGACCGCATCTCTGTCTTTCTTCTTTTCCTCTACCTCTTCCTCCTCCAGTATCCCACAAGCGATCAGATTTCTCAAAAAAGGAAAGTCAGAAACGCCCTCGTAAGTGCAGCTGAAAAAAGTAAGGGAAGTTTTTGCTATCCATTATAAAGTCAGTGCACATGTTTCATACACGTGTCCTCCAATAGAAACACATGCTTAATAATAAAAAAATATATATTTGTATCTTGTCTGCTTCAGGAACTGTATTGGTGTGTGTGTGTGTGTGTGTGTGTGTGTGTGTGTGTGTGTGTGTGTGTGTGTGTGTGTGTGTGTGTGTGTGATACTATTAAAGTATCACACGTTCAAGCAAATTTATCAAATGCATTTGTTCTTGAGTGGATATGCGTCTTAAATAAGACTTCTGTGTTTCTGGCCCACTTCACTCCAGTGTTGACAAAATAAAAACCAAAATGAATTTAAAACTGAGGCTCAGCTGTTTTATACTCTCTGCCAGTCACTATATCAGTGTGAGCAATCTCTCTGAGAGCAACTGAGCTTCAGTTAACACAATCTGGTGCCGTACATTTGTTTACTTGTTTTATTACGATGCTAAAATTGGGACTTTTAACACAATTTTCAAAACTGTCATCAACCCTCTTATTCATTTTTATCAAATGGGCTTCCTTATTCACTCTCTGCAAACTCTTCCTAAAATAGAATTCTTCTGATACATCATAAATCCTTGGCAGCATAAAAAAAACGAATTATGCATATAAATATTACACCAACCACACTGAACCAGGCACAAGGTTGCTTTGCTCCATTCATTTCCACAACTTGGCTTTTCATAAAGTCATATGATTGAATATGCCAGTGCAGCATAGAAAGGCAATTTTCTAGAGGGACTCAGATGTAAATTTGTATTACATATGATAATGTTTCCTATTAGGATTGAGCTCCGTTCCTTTTTGCAAATCCAAAGGAAAATAGAACATGAATCACCCCATACAATGTAATTCCAGTTCTGCTTGACATCCCAATTTCATTTGACCTCCGTTACTAAGAGCCTTCTATTGTAGACGGCACTTCATAGTACTGTGTTGCGCTGCTCCATTAATGTTTTTCATATCGCCATGTTTCTTCTGCCTTTAAGCGCATAGTTAAACGGCTTCTGAATTAAATCTCAATCAAATTGTACAGTTGTATAGAAATTGGCAAATCAAGCCACAGAGCACATAAAATCCCTGACAGTAGCAAAGAATGGATTATTGATACTTTCTGGCCAGATGACTCAATAGCTACATCATAGAGTCCAAAAAGCCTGTCTGTTTATTTGTCTTAATCATGTGGTAGAGGGAAAAGTCTGTTCCCCATTTAGAGAGAAAGCCGAAAAAGATGGAAGTGCTGTGCGCACTAGAGCTCAAATCAATCATTTGCGTTAGTTTTGACCTACAACTGACAGGCAGTCGAGATTTCAATTAAAACCTTTTTTTTTTTCTGGTTTCCAGAGTTGAAAGTCTTAAAGAAATGTAGTGAAATTACTAGCATTACCATGACAGTGACCTCTTGGATTTGATATTTAACCCTGTGCTTTCGTCTATTGATGTTTGATATCAATCATCAGCACACAGTACATTTTCCATTCACACGCCCGGACAAGAGGTTAGAAGATTTTACAGTAAACGAACAGTGAGTGTTTTAAACTGGTTGGCTGCAGAAGCCTACGCTACCAGCTTTGAGAATCTTTTTGTGTTCATGTTTTTAAGTGTTTAAGTACATCATCCACTGTAGGAATGATGTACTTAAGGTCATGGTTGGGGTTAGGCAAAGCTCTAAGAACTGAATGTACTGCAGGTCAAGTGACAAAAACACAAAGACGTGTGTGTGTGTGTGTGTGTGTGTGTGTGTGTGTGTGTGTGTGTGTATGCGCTACTGTACAGTATGTACATGAACAAATTGTACCCATTACACACTTGTATCTTTTTCATGTTTCATATTTACATAGAAAACAGAATAAATTGGCTATTCATATCTTTGTATATATGATTATCAACAGCTCACTGAACCCTGTTTTCTGTGTAAAAATGTCATTGCCTTTGCAACATCCCATGTCTCTGTTGTTACCCACTGAGATCTCTCAGCAGTTAAAACTGAGCACTGTGGTTTGTGCTGGATTCATTCTCAGTAATGGAAGATGAGAGCAACTGCCAGTGCTCAGTGTTATCCTTGAAACTGTCAATGTCTAGCTTTTACTTTCACTCCAACATGTTAGTTGTTATTATTATCATTTGTTGTTAACCCTACTACATGTTTTTAACATTAGAATGGGGTTTATCCAGGCTCCTGAAACCAATACAACACATACAGTAAACAGGATGCTGCGGTGTGCATTTAGAAATACTAAATATCCTGCTCATTTTGTTGCCAGTACAAATCATACCTTCCCACCAATGATATTTTTCTTAGACTGCATTTTTTTCTGCTGTCTTTAATAAAAATGCTGTCTTGTTTTCTCTGTAACTCTCTCTTCCTCTTTCTCTCTGACACACACACTTAAAAAATGTGTTTAAGTTTAGTTTACATGATTATAAGCTACAGGGGGCAGTTCAGGATATTATGTTTTGCATTTATTACGTCAAATGAAGCCATTCATCTCCTGTGTGACTCTGTGGGTCATGAGACATATTCTGCATACTGAATATTTGTTTATTATGTGTATTACTAAGATATGAATGCTGCTCATGTTTGATGCAGACTGTTGATAAACAATACATTTAATTTAAAAGTGCATCTGTTATTTCTTTCTGCAACCTTTTTTTGGTTGGTTGACTTATTGAACAGGTGCTCAGTGTTTGTATGGAATTTGTATTGCTTAGCAAAATCTTTTTGCCGGTTAATCCATCATTCATATTCACGATCTACACTGTACACACAGAGAAACAAATGAACCGCTCACTTACAATCAATTAATGACAGCAAGACCACACTGAGAACTGAAACACTGCTTCAGCAGCCCTGTACTACACAGTTATATTACTGAGACAATGTTACTGTTTGAAGGCTGTTCAGCCAATAATGGATGGTATCTCTAATATTTCCTGGTCAACAGTGTACATACAGAATCTAACAGCAAGAAAAGCCCTGTAATGTGGGTGTTTTATTAGGTCTATATCCACTGGGCAAAAATTAGTTGTGTGATGTAGCATTTAGTCCCACTCAGCATGTACAGTATGTTCTCTTCTAGACCAGCCTTTGTGTCCCTGTTAGCTGTCACTGTTCTCTGGCACTCTTACTGCTTCACTGAGGGATCACCAGCCTCTGGGCTACAACTATGTGTTTCATGCTCTGATGGCACCATAACTTACCATATAGAAGAGATTATCCAGTGGGTCAAACTGCTCTCTGATCTCTTCCAAGTCGTTGTTTGTGTGTGTGCGGTAATATCTCCCACGAATTATATATACAACTATTCTACATCAGAGATTTATGTTCAATGTAAGAAGATATTGTGTGTCAGTAGGAAGGTCAGTGAGTTCTCTACCGGGCTGGACACAGACAAAAGCCTCTGTAGAAACAGGCAGAGTATCTGACCAACAAGCTCAAGAAAGAACAGATCTGGAGACTGGAGCTGAGTGAGTGGTTGCAGCAACAGAAAGACACCCATAAGAATGAACAGAGAAAAAGTCTCATGATGCTGAAAAGGTAATAGAGGATCAGGAGCTGATCCAGGTGCTGAGTGATGAGCAGGATGCCCTCTGTCAGGAGTTGGAGAGCCTGAAAACAAGACTGGAGGAACCAACCCACCAAGCTCAAGGCTGAGAAAGAAGTCAGTCAGGCCCTCCAGAGAGGAACTGCCCAGCTGAAGGAAGAGTTAAAGAGCAGGAAGAGGAATCCCTCACTGTTTTACAGGCCTATAGACTTGTGCCAGAGCCCCAAGTCTCTAAAGAGATGCTCCCAGAGAAATAAAAAGGAGACACTCGGTCCGGAAAAGAATCTGCCACTACAGTTTGAGGAAGAATAAGAAGGAAAGGCAGGGGATAAAGTACATATCCAAGTAAGACTCCTACACCTCAGCATCTGAGCACCTTCCACCATCAACAGCTGTATGCTGCATTGTGGCCTCACAGACAGACCACAGCCGACCAGCTGGACTGTGTTAGTGCTTCAATTTTCCTCTCACACTTCAAAGTCAGTTGAACTGGACATGAAATTCAAGTCAAGTTCTTTATGGACCTGGCTTTGTGCCTGGCAGGATTGTCATGTTAAAACAGGAAAGTGCCTTTCCCAAATTGAAGCCAAGGTTGGAAGGACACTGATAGCATACCCTTCACTGAAAATAACTGGCCTAAAGTAAACCTTGGACTAGGCCCCATACCAAAAGTAGATCTTCGGCCATGTAGTGTATTTTTTTTACTGCAAAACTGCATTGTTTGTAGACTGAGAGAAGGAGATAAAGACAAGAAGAGAACCTGAATCCTACATGTAACCCAAATAATAAATATTCTGAAATAAAAGCCAGTAGTGAAAATAAAAGTTTACAGTCATAAATTATGCACATCTAAGAATCACTGACTCATTATAACGTGCAACAACTGAGCCTGCAACTTATCCTTAAACACTACAGCTGGGAGATCGACCCTCTGATAGATAAATGTGAATATGTGGCAATGTCATGCATTATGATGCATTTGATCATAGCACTGAAATTATGTCTGAATAGCACTTAAATGTCTGGATTTTATTTATATACTTCAACTGGAGGCTTAATTATACCTCTGGTGGCTGCTTTTGTGCGTAATGGCAACAAAAATACCAAAGCAATCCTCCTGTGTGTGTGCATATAAAATGACTGTGTAATGTCCTTCACCGGGAAGATTTATTTTCAGTGGCATATTTTAAAACCTCTCCCAGTAAATGCTGTTCACTTTATTTGAAGAAATATTGCATTTATTTTAAGTTCAAAGACAGTCAGACAAAAGAAAGGCAAAGATCATTTGTACAAACATGTGTGCTGCCTTCAACACAAGTTTCTGATGCATCATATAACCAAAAAGGATAGAGATACGTGAAAATACGTAAACGAAGCAGTACTCTTGTAGTGCTGTAATCTGAAATAAAATATATTTGTGGTCAAAGCAATCCAAATTTCTGACATGCATGTTTCTTGCATTGCATGTTTGCTCTTGATAGTAAACTTAATCAAAAGTGACAAGAAAAAAAGATTAAATTAATAGCCATGGAATTGGATGATAGAATCCTCTCATGAATTAATAAATGTAATGCTATTTCAGGAGAAACTAATCAAGTACCACTTAATCCAATATTTACCAGGCCAACCAATTACCTTGTGGAACATTAATCAGAGAGAACATTTATAAACACATGGTTTCAATTACAAAAAGAAGAACAGCCTGCCCTTATTTGTTAAAACCGCTGCGAAATGCGCCAGAAATCTGAACTCTAATTGGAAATGACACAAAAAGCAGTGTGCGCGAGTGGCCCTGACAGTGAGCAGCTTGATGAATCAGCCTGGGGAGCCGGTATGACAGTCATCAGTCAGCTCAATGGGGGGAGAGTTAACTGGCTGCTGCAGGGTTGAGTTCAATGTGGTGGAGAGTTTGTGTCATGTTTACTGGATGTGGAAAGTTCTCAGTTCTCCAAAATCTGTTGGATGTTAATTCTCAGGTTCCAGTCCTAAAGGACCACTGGATGTGCCAAGTTTTGTTCCCAGCCAAGCTCTAACATAGCTCTTTCCAACCATGTGGGAATCAACACTAAAAGTCTAAAATACAGTAATCTGACTTTTTGATGTTTTATCACATAAATACAAATACAATTAAGGTCACAGACAGCATGTAAAATTTGCAACCACTACAAAACGGAGCTAACAGACAAAACACAATAACTGCTTTGTGTTGGTGGCAGACTGCAGTCTGTTCAGTAATATCTAGGATCTACAACATATTGCCACACTTACTGTGACAAACCTAGCAAAACAGAGATACAATTTTAATTCATGTGAACTATGATCTATACAATCAAAATCAGAAAACGTTTTTCTTAATGTCAAGAAAAAACACACTGTAGATATCACATTATCTTCTTGCTTTTCAGGACGTTTCTCCAAAAGCGGAGTGCAATATTTTTAGGTATTATGTAGATTCTATTGTAATACTTTGTAGGTAAAATAAGCTGCCTTAAAAGGCAGAAAATTAAGGCATTACAAGCTTTGTATTGTTTACGCAGTTTACCAGCCAGTCTGTAAACTTTAAACTCTTTTTTCTCACACTCATTATTTCTAAATGACTGCTCTTGGCAAAAGGCAAGAAGCAAAACCAGCACACCAAGTAGTGCTTTAGGACTCAAAACTCTGTCTTCTGATTGGTCAAATGAGAACTGAGAGTTAGTCACTTGTTCAGGAATTGGTCGATACAGGGTGGCGGTGAACCCTGATCGGTTAGCAGTTATGAGACGAAGCCACAAAGAGGCTGGAGGAAGAGGCCCACGGTCCCCAAGACGCACACGGTCACAAACACCCAGAGGAAGATTCTATCGATCACCATGGCAACGTACTTCCAGTCATCCTCCACCTGTGAGCAAGGGAGGGGACAAAACAACAAGTGTGACAGGACAGAGGAAAGTGTTAGTGGTGACAAATGCAAGATGAAAAGTGAGGATTTTGTTTTAGTAGTAGGTGAGGACAGGTGCAGAGTGAGAGGAAACGGGTGATTCAGAATCTCAGATGGCGGGAGGTTTGTGGGAGTCGATATGGGGTGAGGTGAGGATTACACAGCAAGGATGGAAGGAAGGAAAGAAACAAAGAAAGAGAAAAGAGTTGAACACTTCTTGTAAGCCAACAGAAAATTGATACATAATTTACACAGGAGGAAATTACTATGATAATCACATTCAAACCGCAGCGTCTAAAGAAGCGACAGGCGTTTTGACAAAGCTGATTGAGCCACGGGTTTTGCATATCAAAGGCTGCTTCTCCCCTTTGGGAGATTTCACCCACTGTATTTATAACTGACAGAGAGAGGAGGGAGAGCTCTTGACTCAAATCTAAAATTATTTGGTTCTAACTTACCCTGTTGTTAACTTACGGAGCAGGTTAGGATCTGAGGCAATGCTTCCCTGAATAACAGCGCAGCTCTCCCAGGCCAACACATAACACATAAATACATTATGCATCGAACACACTTGCTTTGTGTCTGCTTTCTATCAGTGACTGTAAGTTTATATAAAGTTTAGAAACACTGAAACATTATATTTCCTACTTCATTTGATCAGGAAGGTTTTGTCAACTGCTGTATTTCCTAAAATAGTAAATCTCAAAATAGTCTAATTTGATTTACAGTAAGACTGCACAGTGCTATTGTTGTTAGTGTTAAATTCAACACACACAGTAAAGTAACTCCACTGTCACTGGCTGCACTGCGGAAAATTGTCCTGTTGTGCAGTTGTGTGTTTAAAAAATAATTAAAATGAATTACAACATGGGTTGAGTTTTTGTAGTTTGGTCATTATTTCTTTTTTTTATTATAACATTTTACTCTGCGTGATATCTGACACTGCAACATTAAAGTCTGACAGGGCAAGAAACAGGATCGCTAATCAATGGGTTGTAAACGAGACAATAGTTTAACCAGATTATCCAAACCACTTTAAAACTGAAAGTCAGCGCACTCAAAATGTTAATAATCCCTCATTTAACAGGAAAGCGGCTGGTGCGTGGCTGCTGTGAAAAAAAAGGCCTGTTGTGCATGCTGGCTGATAAATGATTTATTGATTAATGTTTTATTAATTGTTTTTCCTGTTATGACCAGTCAACATGTCTGCCATGGCCAATTATCTGACTGCTTGTGTTGACATCTTTTCATTGATGTTTGTGTTGGTGAGTGCAATGTTAAAATGGAATTATGGCCAAAACCAAAACCAATAAGACCCATGTTGTATTAAATCAGGGTCATTATTTAAGATGTTGCAGTTTTGTGTTTGGATGGATCTTGAGGGCCATCCTAGACAACAGGAAGCCACTGTTTCATGTTTGACAGATGCTCTTCCCAGTGAATTTAATCTCCAGATAAACACGAGCTAGATGTAAACAAAAATTGGAACTGCAGAGTTCCCAAAACCTACTTACACACAGTTTTCAGGGTGTAGTCCTGCCCCAGCAGTTTTTTTAGGTTTCCTTGAGTATCACTTTCTGGTGTTTTTGCTATTTTCTCAAATATCAGAAATATCACTTTACACCACATGTCACACTACCAGTCTCCATGATTAAAACTGGCATTTTGGTTTATTTAATTTAAGTCTTTATTTGATTTACTTTTCTTACCCTTTAAATTTGTGTTTTTTGTTGTTATTTGACCATTTATGATAAAATAATCGTGGACAACATGCAGCATTGCTTGAATGATTACTTTGCTATTTTCTCAGGTTTTTCTTTAGAAAAAGCAGAGACAACAGATGTTTTAGTTTTCCATCTGTTTTTTCATTGTTAAATTTCTTATTTTTCTTACACAGAATGAAACTGAGAGTGAAAAACAAAAAACAAAAATGATGGTGTATCTTTGCGTATGTGTGTTTTTTAGAGGGTGGCTGCACTGCGTTTTATTTATTTTATTATTTTAATATATAATGCCATTCAGAGTGATCCATTAAAGTGAAAATAAGAATGACTAACCTCTTTGGCTTTGTTGCGACTCCTCATGTTCTCAGCGATGTACTTGACACTCTCGATGGCCTGTTTGATCTCAGGTGACACCACGGAAAAGGCCACCACTGTGTTGATGCTTTGGGGACTCAGCTGACGCGTCATCTTCCCCATGTCTGGTGTTTCTGGGGTCTCATTCCCATGCTGGCAGGGGCAAGGGCATTTCTTCCCAGTGCAGCCCTCCACAGACGAGAGCTTACTGTCCCCAAACTCCAGACAGTTGAGGGAGCCTCCTCCCACCTGCTGGGGATCAACCAGAAGCTTCACATTCTGCTTCAACTCACAATCGACATTTTTCAGGTAATAATTTTATATAAAATAATGGGATCTCTGGAAAACATCTCTGGGATCTGAGCAGAACAACTTTAACAAGGTGATAACAAGGATAGACTTGTTTCTTTCCATTGTTTTGGGGAGTGAAACATTAATAAGGGCTTCCTTCGAGGTCTCAGCATTGACCATAAAGAACTTACGTATGGATCACACTGTATATACATTGTGTGTGAGAACTTGGTGGTACTTGCAAGAAGCAAGTAGCTAGATCACTAAGGGGTTACAACATTGAAAAGTGGGAAGAGGGAAGACTGTTGTGTGGTCCAACAAGCAAGCTATAGGTGATCCGATTCCCAGAAGAGGAAATATATTTTATACAGAAATATCTTTTGTTGAGGAAACAGTTCAGTTGCTTCTGCTAGCCGCTCTTCCATGCTATAACTGCCTGAGATCTGGCAAAATCAATGACGACTGTGATGGTTCCCAGTCCCACAGCTGAAAAAAACGTTGATTGATTACATTTTAGAAAGTACATTGACTTGTTTTTCAGAGCTGAATAAGCAGGAATCACCATCTACAGCTGCACAAAGATGCTGATTAGTTGAAAAGAGGTTTAAGTCAAAACCACACTATAGTACACTAGCGAAAAACCTTCAGAGAAGCCTCTACTCTCTCATTACTGAAGCATACCATAATCAACACTATATGGAAGTAGACAGAGTTTTAAAGTTTAAAAATATCAGTGAATTAACTCTGTCCCCACACAAACATGTCAACATTGGACAATTCTGCAGAACCCCAGATTACGTGCAGTGACAACACTTTTCTATGTCTGATGGTGCTGTTTTTTCTCGCTTTCTACAATCTCAATTTTCAGCATTTGTGCATGGCAACTATGGTATGGTTATGGGAAAGGGAAAGGTTGTGGTTGTGGCAAACTATGCTTACAGTATGTTTAGATTTACGCAACTAAATCACTTGATTAATGTTAGGCAAAGCTTGCTTTTGCTGTTAAAATAATTATCGCAGGTTTGTGAGGTTTGCTTGAAAGTTGGACTTACTACACACTTACACACTCATCCACTATTGCGAACTTCACACACGTACTGTGCACCTCGCTACCTAGAAGGCACACTGCATCCTGCATTGGTACTAAATGTAGGCATCGTGAGGTGCAGAATCATCCCATATGGACAAAATTCGCAGGGCTACAATGAATAATGAATAAACATTTCTTCAATAATATACAGTGCACTAACTGTGACTTGTGTATCTCAGTTTTTTGCTTCTCCTTATCTCGCATTGACCTTTACTAGATGCCTAGAGGGGCCACTTCAGGATGATACAACCCTCCAAAATGTTGTTTAAAATAACAGGTCCAGACCTGAACTAGATGCTTCTGGATGTGGACGCCTTACCTGCATCAAGCTATTCTTCCTTTTCTTCCCTCCTTTCCCTCCTCCGCCTCCTCCTCCCCCTCCAGCTCCTCCTGCCTCCCCACTGCTGTCCAACCCCCCAGCCTTGCTGTCTTCGTCAATTGGCCTCCGCATCAGCATAATCCTCGGCAACACTTTGAGAAACACAGAGCGCACCCAACCCGGCATAGTGTGGGTCATTGGCGTACGGTAGTGTACATTCAGCACGAACACAGTGATGACGATGCTGAGTGTGACGAAGATCATTGTGAAGAGCAGATACTCTCCAATGAGCGGGATGACAAGCGATGTGGAGGGGATGGTCTCCGTGATAACGAGCAGGAACACAGTGAGGGAGAGCAGGACGGAGATACAGAGCGTGACCTTCTCTCCACAGTCAGACGGGAGATAGAAAACCAGCACTGTGAGGAAAGAGATGAGGAGGCAGGGGATGATGAGGTTGATGGTGTAGAAGAGTGGCAGGCGCCTGATGTAGAAAGAGTAGGTGATGTCTGGGTAGATCTCCTCACAGCAGTTGTACTTGATATCATGCTTGTAGCCCGGAGCGTCAATGATTTCCCATTCACCACTCTCCCAGAAGTCTTTCAGGTTCACCTGGGAGATGGAGAAAGCAATCTTAAAATCATAACGCGAGTCAACTTAACATTCTTAAAAGGGCCCTGTCAGTCAATACAATACATACAAGGCTCATTTTTGTCTGATAAATTTTGTTAGAATATGCAAATCAACTTTAAACTTATTTTCGCCTGGATTTTATGTCTGCAGGCGCCCAAAATACTGTATGTTTCCGCAAGAAGACACTTATGTAGTTTACCGTAAATAAGATCATCTTGCAATGCTTATAGCTTTTCAGAGGTCAGAAAATATTGCAGTGTAAGTAGTCAGATGAAGTGGGGAGGGGAATGGGGAGAAAACGGAGGTGCAGCCACTGATTATCCCTCTATGAGTGCCTCTAAGTAAGCAAAACACAAAATCTTCATACTACTCCATTTGAGATCTTTTTGTAATTTTTTGCTGGATTCATATTCAAAATACACACACGATAAATGATGTCCAAATGGGTACTGCAGCAATTTCATATTGCACTTAAATACTCACTTTTTTCAAATGCCATATTCAGGATAACCCTAATGACATCAGCATGACATCATCAGAGAACTCCTTCCAATAAAAAAACAATAATAATGATTCCTATAGTAAATACCTGTAGTGTCTAATCAAATGAGAGTAATCAGTATTTTTTCTGGAGGTAGGATAGACAGAAAAATAATGAAAGAGATAGTTGATAGTTACGCCAGACTTGGACACAGTCACAGGCACTGACCTTAGACCCAATAAGTACCAGGTCAATCTTGGCTTTGTCATAAGTCCAGGAGCCAAACTTCATGGAGCAGTTCTGATAGTCGAAGGGGAAGTAGGTGATGTCCATGGGGCAGGAAGATTTAAAAATGGCTGGAGGAACCCAGGTGATGGTACCATCAAACTTCAGCAGAGCCTTGGTCTTATCCTCCACCAGGAAATCACCTACAGCGCTGTATATGACGTGTGTGTGTGTGTGTGTGTGTGTGTGTGTGTGTGTGTGTGTGTGTGTGTGTGTGTGTGTGTGTGTGTGTGTGTGTGTGTGTAATCAAGGCGAGCCATGGCAGAGTAGGTATGAGGAGATATGATACAAGCATGTGTGGGTTTTGAATGAGACACAAAGGTTATAGGAAGGCGGGGACGTCAAACAATGAGTGGGAAGGCGAGGAGAAAATGGAAGCGAGGGACACAAGAGAGGGGAGAAGATAAAAAGGTGAAGTTATAGAGGTAAGAAAGAAACCATTAGGATTAAAAGAAAGAGGACAATGAAGCTGCATTGTGTATTTTTGTGAAACACTAAATTGCCTTTGATTAACATTGTGAGTCACTGGTGTAAGTTGAAAGAAGAAATGAGACCACAATTAAGTGAATTGAAATTGGTTCAGCACAAACTGACCCTGAACAATAGACAGTCATGTTAGCATATTTCAGTGTTATTTCAGTATATTCTGTTGCACAGTGTAGCAGCTAGAGGTATAAAAGACATTTTGACCAATCTATTTGTCAGTGCCTACCAGATTTGGCCATATGACCAATGCAAAATGATACACATGAGCGGTTTGTGATCTTCCATCTTTATGGATAAGGTCTAGTTACGAGGGTAAAATGCTTGTTTTTTGTTTGTTTTGTTTTTTTGGCTGTTGTCCACAAAACTATTTACCCTGACCTTTCCTTTAGGGGATTTGCAGCACTATAACATCATCCTACCATTTTTGTTCCAATAGTCATTATTTGCAAGGCCTTTAAAAGGTCTCTTGTTAGGGTGTGAACATAGGTAGTTTTAAGTGTTTGCGGAAACAACCATTGCTGTTGTTTTTCTATTGATATAGTATTGATATATATATAGTGATGTTATGATGATGGTAATGATTGTGCTTGTCTCACTTGTTGTAGAGCACAATGTCGGGTCTCCAGATCTTGTTTGATGGGACTCTAATGAACTCTATCCCATCAAACTCTGCCGGCATCCATCGCAGCTTGTAGTCATTCCAAATCTGAGAGCGGAGACGAGAACAACATAGTAAGCATACTGGGGAGTCAAACATCTGTTTTTGTGTTTTGCATTGTACACTGTAGACAGTATTAGTCGCTGGAGACACCCTCCTCCAAGGGGATATTTTGAAATACATATTTATACTGCAGGCAGAGCTTCCTTTGATGTTTTACAGTGGATCCAAATAAGGATACTGTAACAAAAACTGATGTTTTCTAGACAAAAGTAAAGGTTTCACAGAGCATCTGGGTGCTTTCATTTTCTATTTTACTGAAAATCAAGCACAAACATGTCTGTTTTTGATGCAGTTCCTCCTGGTAAAAGAGCCACAGAGCTTTAGTAAACGAATAATAAGGCATCTACAATAGTCGCATCTGTATAAAGAGTTTAGAGTATATGAGCAAATGGCTCACTGACAGAAATAAAGGATCAGTGCGTTCTGTCAACATACCTGCGGGTAACATTTCATGGGCCATAGATCCATTAGTCTTGGCTATTTGCATGTCATTCAAGATGAATTCATTCATTAGCAAGGCAGATTAATATCCAGTTATGACCTGGGAGCTGTTTAATTAACCACTTCATGCTACACTGGCTTTTTCATTTATTTATCCAAGCAGTTTACAATGTGATGGACTGGAGATTTGATTTGCCTGGTTTATGGTTTATTGTTTGCAAGATATAGATGATTCTACATTTACTTTCTATGGCCACAACATACATACAGTGAGTGATTAAAAACCTGCTGGTACATTTTATGTGTATTTAAATTAATAATAATGCTGAGTGCATACAGGCATTCTCCAACCTACTATGAAGTAATTCTACAAATGAACATCTAAAACAGGCCTTTGGTACAGAGTCACTTAGGGACTGTACAAATATTATTGGGGAAGGGTAATGAAAAATTATGATGTAATTATCACATTATCAGAATATAGGAATGGATTTTAAAAGTGCTAAAAAAAATCCTGACTTGGATATATATTTCATTGCTTATTCATTTATTTCATTGCCTACTTATTAATTTAATTTAGGTAAATACCATTTGATATTTATTTAATTTCCTGTTAATATATTTCACCAATTATTTATATATTTGCCATTAATTTACTAATTGATTGATTTATATATTTTCTATCTATTTAATTAGTACAATTATGACCCATCTAGTGATAGGTCTTCAACCCTCTTCTCCACCCCAATCATTTTCATACAGTCCCTTCATGTTCTGATCTCATATTGACTGGATGATCAGGGTTAAAAGAAGAAAAAAGTGGATACATAAGTGCATTTTAGCCTGTAACTTATTATTACACACCATATACAAAGGCTGTCTGTTGTACAGTGTTTAGTACTGTTTAAATCTTATCTCTTACAAAAAAGTAGCTAATGGAGCTTGCTTTTTAAGGAGCACAAAATGAGCACTTTTAGAAACACTGTATTCTGTTACAGAAGGAATCCCCTGCAGTGTTACTGCAGAACAGATGCAATGAATTCATCAAGGGGGGCTTTCTAAAATGGCTACCACTGTAAACCCACTGGCTGCGATTCAAAGTCTTTATCAGTGACTGTGGTGTTGACACAGCTTCTCATTAGTGATGCCTTGTTATAAATAAACAGCTCAGCCATAACAAACCAAAAATAAAACCATCAGCCTATACAGGCCTGTCAATGCATTTTAATTAAAGAGCTCAGAGATCACAGTATATTATCCACCATTCAATCGCATCACTATCCAACAGCTGTTTGGCCATGTAGCGCAATTAGAGACTGATTTAAATAGGCAATTTATGGAAGTGGCAGCTTATAGATTTAGTCTAGGGAAAGCGAAAGACAAAAATCTAGAAGATATCAGAAAAGTAGCAGTTAGGAGGACAGAGACGAAATGTGCTATTATGGAGAACAGCTGGCTGTCTGAGGTCAGGAGTTCAGGGTCTGTGGCTATAGATCGGATAAAAGGCAGAGCGTGACTAACCATAATGCTACCATTGATCACCAGCTGATTGCATTCAAGTGTCTATCTGCGATATCCATGTTTTCTTGTTCCCTTTCCTTTATTCTTACTGTGTGTAACATTAGAGTGACATTCACACACGAACACACACTGGGAAAGAGAGAAAGAGAGTGGGGCATCCCATATTGATGTCTGCTTAGTATGTATACATAAACTCTCCACAGTCTTCACTTAGGTCTGTCTCTGTAGACCTGTAGGTCAGTGTAATAGTAGGTGTGTGTGATGGTGTGATGGTGTGTGTGTGTGTGTGTGTGTGTGTGTGTGTGTGTGTGTGTGTGTGTGTGTGTGTGTGTGTGTGTGTGTGTGTGTGTGTACTTACATGTCTGAGCCATAAATTTGTTTCCATGATCTGATTCACCTCATCCTGCAGAGACAAGGAGAAGGGCTTGTTAGCCAGCAGAACATGAGTGTTTTTTTTTTTTTTTGTGTGTGTGTGTGTGTGTGGAGAGAGAGAGAGAGAGAGAGAGAGAGAGAGAGAGAGAGAGAGAGAGAGAGAGAGAGAGAGAGAGGTGTTTTATTGGTACAGCAGCTGAAATAACTATAAGTGCACGCCATATTGAGTTTTGAAAGAAGATAATATATACAGTATATATATATATATATATATATATATATATATAGCCAGGAATAAAAATACACTACATTTTTTTAAAGAAATGGAATTTGTCGTCTAATCTTTGTCCTCTAGAGCTGGAGTTTATTGACTGAAAAGGTCGACTGTGGATAAGTTAATAATAAATGGAGAGGTAACAGGCGTCACTTCCTCTCTACCTCTCTCCATTTGATTTGCAGTCCTGTGATTCTCACAATAAAACATAAACCACATATAGAATTGCATCTGCCGCATATACTCTATACAAGCAGACACATGAAAATATGTGCACAGACACACACATTGCAACACATTCAGTCAGCGCACCCAAGCCCATGCATGCACATCCACACACTCACCTTTAGATTAATCTCACCTTGCTCAGATATAGCTACATATCAGTCCAGTCTGAAAAAGGCTCCTGCAGGCAATTTTCCCTTAATCTGAGGATTTCCATTCTGAGCTGAAAACCTCTTTTCACTCTGGGATGTGCAGCAACCCCCCCCATGCATTAAACTTAACATTGCCAAAGCAAAACAGCAGTGTATAACAACACTGTGTGACATTTTCGGAATCCTTGAAATTGAGAAGACTAAATAAAGATTGTATTCACTCTCGGCTTTCACTTCTCTCGTTCCGCAGCTTATCTTTTGCCTTTTCTGTATCAAAGGTAGGAAATATGATCAAGATGCTTGTAGGAAGACGTCTCTCAGTTCACACAGACTCTCTCACATACTGTTGAGAGGATGCTATAAGTGAAATAACATTTTGGTTACATTCACCTTTGTTCGTACACACTTAGAAAACAAGACATACAGAACTGTATGAAATGAAAGTGCAAAGGTGCTTAAAACACCTTTGACATCACGTTGAACTGAGTCTTTGCAAGCTTTATACGCATGTTATGGTTACAATATCCACTGCTGTGTGTGTGTGTGTGTGTGGGTGTATAGCTTACAACTTTGACCAGCTGTGAGATGGAGACCTCAAACTCCACAGTGACAGGGTCAGAGACATTCTCCACCGGTCTGATGAACTGGTTATATCTTCTGAACAGTTTCCTGAACAGCCGGTCCTCTGCCTTGGATGAAAAGCAGTCTGAAGGGACGGAAAGAGGCAGAGAAGAGAGATGACAGGAAGAGTGACTGGATGAGTGAATGTGAATGAAAATAGAGGAAGAGACTGGAAGAAAAATAAATATTGCAAAAAACTACAACTGATGTCTTTAAGAAGTTATAGATTTCGGAAACTCTGGTGCAATCACAGAAACACAGCTATCATCTACAGGTCTCCAAATCCATTCTAATCAACTCAAGTCATGCCACACATAACTTTAATATGGAACTGAAAAAAAATCAGTCCAATTCCAATTTTGCTGCAGCATCGCATTAATGTTTTATCATATTTGATGAATCGTCTACAAAGAAGTCTCTTTAGATTATAGATCCTTTGCTTAGATCTTCAGAGTTTAAAGTCTACTTTGAACAAGTCTGTGACATGAGATAACTTTAGGGTCTCTCTCTGTGTGTCTGGTTTACATGGAGCCATAGCATTGAAAACTGTTAGCAGCACGTCCACTTTTAATGTTATGTTTATATCCTGTGTAGTCTGTTTTTTTTTTTATTAGCGTCATTGGATCTGGATGTTCTGTCACTGGTCTAAGTAGAGAATATGAGGAAGGGAGGGAATCTCATCACTTTATTCAGTACATGGATGGCCCACACCAACCTTTTAACCTGACCTGCGGAGTGACAGCTTTCAGTCTTACTGCCTCAATTTATTTCAATTTAGTTCAGTTAACCATGAGACCTTTTTCATTAGCTCCTGTTTCCAAACCCATCGCCTGCCATCTAGACCTGAACCTCCAGTCCTTACAGACCTACTACCACTTTAAGGATCTTCCAATGACTCACCATTCACCAGCGCAGTCACCCAGTTTCTACGACTAAAACATGAATGCTTTGAGCAGAGCTTCAATCCAGCATGGAGGATTTAACCAAAATACAGCTAAATCTACTGCTTCAGTTCAGTCCAAACAGTTAATTGTCACACTCTAAACCATTGTAACTGCAGACCACTGCAGTTCATCATGTTAGAAACAAGCAAACGTTTGTCCCAAGAGTAATTCTCTCTGTTTATTTAGGTAGCACCATGAACAGACAGGTGGTATATTACCATATCCAAGATATCCTAGAATAGAATCTCATTTAAGCTCAAATAAAAATGTAATAGCTAAATGGAGATAAATCACAGTGACAAGCATGTCCTCTTCTCTTCTCCTGACTAATGGTAAAATATAGATAGGTAGGTGTTGCAGCTGTGGGGGTTCATCCTTTATGAGTACATGATTTATTATAGTTTACCTAAATATAGGCATGTCTTTGGTTGGACTGCTGTGCTGTATACGTAACCAAAATATGAAGGGCCTTGTTTGCTAATTAACCAGGAAGGAGACTGGAAGGCCTGAGGCACAATATCAGCATGTCTACCTTGTGGAAAATGCACGGCAAGCTATTTTAACATAGTGCAGAGGAGTTGTAGACTGTCTCCTGAGGGCAGGAGATGAAGTAAAGGCTTTTTTCGCTCAGGTGAGGAATCGAGTTGTGGGAGGAGCTGCTAAACATTATCCTTACTTGACATAGAAATATTTGAATCTGGCTTATGGCTAATGTGTCAGAACTATAGCAAATTCAAAACACCATCCCATAGTTGCTAAAGTCATCTAAAACTGATTCATAGTGAATTTTAAGTCACAATACTTACGTTTTATTTTTCGGGTTCACTTTACTTTTAATGATCAGTATTTTTATAGCCCTATAATTTGTGTTTTTACATTCAGTAATTACCTCTTTATGTAAAAATTTCAGTGGTGGAGTCCGCCATTCCCACCTCAGTTAAAAGAACCATCCTAAATATGAGGGATTCACAGGAAACTTTATTGTCTGAAATTTGATCTCATTGATATCAGCCTCACTGTTTAGTGTTCACTCTCTTAAGACCATATCAGAGCTGTTTTAAGTTACTGCTCATGCAAACCAAACATTTCCTACTGCTGATGCTTTACATTAAAAGAACCCACACTGGCTAAACACAGAGTGGTTTTTACTGTGAAGCAACCAGAGGAAATGCAATGTATTTTTCTCAGCTGTTAATGCTGGCCACAATGGTTAATGCAATGAAATATGCACCTATAAAACAAAATAGCAGTAATTTTCCTGCATTCTTTGATAGGAGATCAGTTTTAAATATTATATGAAGTGTAGAAAAGGTGTGCCATGGACAGCATCAAATCAGATCTTGTGATTTGAAGAAAAAAAGCAAATTATTGACTGACTTTGCGAGTTTGTTTTGCAGAACAGTCACTGGTCTCTTCTATTTCTGACAAAGTAGCTGCTCAAGTAGAGTTTTCTAACCCCAGAATTCTGCAACTGGGTTTCGTATTTAACCTCACTTGCTGATACCACAGTAATCATGTGTTGCCAAATCAACCTGGACAGAAAACTTTAACTTTAAATGTAGTTATGATATTAAATAACTGTACACTTTTCCATGATAAACCAGTTTTTGTTGGTTGTGTAAGCCACAAACGTTTTCAAAGTGAACCATTTCAAAACGATGAGTTCAAAGTTCCCCACACAACTGAGTCACAGTGGTTATCACTCCTGCAGCTTGTGAAGATGATCACCCACTCCTCCTCCTTCAAGACCCCCAGTACTCTTAGCGTCACACAGCATCACACTCTATAAATATCAAGATCAATACTACATTCTTCTCTGCTGGACAGCTCTCAAGGTTGTTTGATGGAGGAGAAGGGGCAGGAGAGAGCTGGATTGGAGAGGAATGCACAAAAGGGACGACAAAAAAAAAGAAAAAAACACAAAGAAATGTGGGAAGCAGACATGGAAGGTGACCACCATTCATAAAACCTTTGCAGAACTTGTGTCACCTCAAAGACACTGTCAGATTTTGCTTCTATCGTTTTCCCCTAAACTCTTAATACTATCCTCATTTGACTAAAACCAGCCAAACTGAGTTTGGAATAGATGAGAAAATCTCTTAATTAAAATGGACTTCTTTGGCAAAGGCTTGAAATCCTAATGATGAAACACTGCTGACCCTATTACATCAAGATCCCTTCCTCACAGGCAAGAGATAACCCTCATCATGTAGACAACAATGGCACCAGAAACCCAGCTGGTGCTGAACTCCTGGTGACAGCCCTCTGGAGAGAATGACAAGAGGGATAAAAAAAAAAAACACCAAGAGGAGGAGAGGAGAGGAGAGAAGAGGAGATGAGAAGAAGCAGAGACAGACTGAAAGCAAAGCCTTCTTAAGATGTCACTCAACAGATTAGACTTCATAGCCCTCCGTCTGTTAGCTGCCTAGCATGGGCTAATGCTATGCTAAACAGCGTTTAAAGGGAGCATGGTAGGACACTTTGCATCTGATCCATGTTTGGCAAAAAAAAGGAAAAAATTCAAATACAAGGTGTTGACGGCAGTATTCTTTTGGACAAGCACAAGGAATAGAATACAATAAAATAGAATAGAATAGAACAATAGAAATAGGAAGGAAGGATGTAAGAAAGGTAATTTTAATTAAAAGATAAAAGAAAAGAAGAAGGAGAAATTAGATGGACTGTCATGGTGCTTCATCTACTTGTTAGTATAATTACAAAGGCAGAGCTGCTCTCTGTAACATGTCCACTGACTAAACCAGCTCTTTGATCAAAACAGGATCCCATGCTCACACGCTCACACACATGCACGTGCACACAGACACACATTTAACATGGTCAGATGCATTTCACGTTGAGAATCATAAAAGAACCAATTATGACAGAAAATGAGCCACAGGTTCTGCGCACTTTCATCTGGATTTATCACATTTCTGTCCTCTCTCTCTCTCTCTCTCTCTCTCTCTCTCTCTCTCTCTCTCTCTCTCTCTCTCTTTCTCTCACTCCATGTTTCCAATTACTATTCTACCAGCGTCACTCGCCCGTTTTCACTGGCTGCTTTCGTCATGCTAGGATTAACATATCACATGGCAAAAAGGTAATTAGGTGAAAAATGATTTAGGGGAGAGTCTTCTTAAATGTAGTGCGCATGTTTTTCTCTCTTGCTACTTTTATGATACATGGAGGTCATTTGCTTGACAATATTACATTTGTCTATAAATCTCTGGGTAAAAGTATGAACAAGTAATGGTGCAACTGCAGCTGATATTACAGTAAGTCGTGTTTTATATGGAATAGAAGTTTAGTGTCATATGGCTATTTTAGCAACGCAGACATGCTTATTGAATCCCCCTGTCCTAATATAATAACAAGTTAAACAGCAATCTGATAACTGGAGAAAAAGAAGCCAGCTGCAGCTTTTGACAGAGGAAAGCAGAAGAGTTCGTGATTACAGTCAAGTCAGCAGCATGTACAGTTAATGTACTTAAATGTAAAGTATGAATTATTTAACTGAATGTGCAGATTCTGTCAAAACCCACTTAGAAAGAAAGTTGGTTCAAATATGTGTCCCGTGAGATAGTTAATGCACCGAAGACATGAGGGTTGGAGGTCAACTTGCATACTGTGAAAAAAATATTCTGGAGATGACAGTCATTCAGGACGATGATGGAGAGCATGTGAGGAAAAGGTAGAGGGGGCAGAGGCAGGAGGAGAAAAGTGAAGGACAGATAATGAGTGATGGAAGAAGAGACCATTTTATGGGCTGTTTGAGAGGATACTGTTGGAGAGCCATTTAGCCTCCATTCTCCCCTGAGCATGCAAATGCTTTTAAAGTAGAGTGAGAAAGAGAGACGGAGAGGAAGAGAGGGAGACTGGGGTGAAAGTGTGTTTTTTACTTTTACATCTTCATCATGTACAATTCTTATATTGTAAATACTGAATAAAGGGAGGCATGCTTTTGCCATGAGCTGGAAGGCTCTCCTCATATTGTTTGTTTTTCTTTTGTACCTACAAAACTGAGCTGAAATGAGCTAAAGTCAACTGACAGAGATTAAACGGGAGGAGAAAAGTAGAGAGAGGGAGAGAGACAGAGAAAACAGAGATACAACTGAGTGAGGTGAAGTGAAAAGCTGATGGCAGCAACGGAACCTAAGAGATTTGTGGGTGAGAAAGTGTGGTGGAAGCACAAAAATGTGAGAGACAGATGTAAAGAGCCAGAGACGATAGGACAGTGGAGCAGGGATATACTGTGTGTGTGTGTGTGTGTGTGTGTGTGTGTGTGTGTGTGTGTGTGTGTGTGTGTGTGTGTGTGTGTGTGTGTGTGTGTGTGTCCAGCAAATGGAGTAGGAAAAGATATGATCCCAATGACAGCAGAATGCACTTTCTCATCACAGCTACACTGTGTTAAAGCCTGCAAACAACTTTCTTCAATTTTTGTTTTCTCTCATTCTTTTGATTTGTTCTGTCTCTTTTCAGCAGATATAAGAACTAATGCAGGTCCAATATAGTGCTATTAAAAGCCTCATGGCATTCACAGAAGACTGCACATGTGTCTGAGCGCTCACACATTATCAAGCAAAAGGGAAATAAAAAATGTTCACCTTCAGAAAGAGCAGATCAAATATAAATTGCAGGTCTTTCCCCTCAAGGCTCGTTCCCAAAAAAGTGGGTTACATGAATTTGAATATGTTTCATGTAAAGGAGTCATTCAACCTTTGTAGATCAATTTCTCAACAGTGGCTTTCTCATGATGAAAATGTACATTTTGTGGTGATTAGGTGTAAATGAGACCCTGAAGTGGCCATACTCCTCTCTCTGGGGTTCAGGAAATGTCACCTTGGAGAAGCCAGAAAGATAAAAATCAGGCACCAACAATTTGTCTTCTTTGGGATGGTACACCTATTATTACACCAAATTTGCTAACAGTGAAACATGTTCTGCCTGGCATATGTATTGCTTTTGCTCATGAATGATGCTCCCACTCTTTATATGATGTGGTAAAACTGGGAGAACAAGTGTACAGGTTGGGTGTTCATGAAAACAGGAGGACGATCACAGCGCTGCAGTGAGAGGTGTTCTCAATACATTTATCTATGACTCAGTTTGTGTTTAGCCACGCCCCCCTCTGCTCTGTGTTCTGCTCTATAAATGTTACTGTGATATAAGCCTTGTTACCACACACACACACACACACACACACACACACACACACACACACACCTCATCACCACAGTTCACTGACCGGATCATCAGTCATGCACCCAAATACATTAAGAGAGAAGCCTCTATTTAAATACAAGGGTCGACATGTACAGGCTGAGATAACACATTTGTGGATTTGTGGAAGCACATTAAACCACCTGAAGCAAAAGAGATACTGTATATGTACATGCTATCCACTCTTTGCATGTGTATTCATATATTTTGAAGGCACTGGGGACCCCTATGTGCATATTAGTTTCCTAGTGTATAGGTTGCAGAGAAAAATACAGTCACATTAGCCTACTGTTTCCCTACACTCAGCCCTGAACAAGGAAGTGATGTCACAGTTTAACATGGGTAGTAGATAAATGTTAATCAGAGCCATCACAAACTGTAATCGGTCTGTAGAAGCAACGCTTAGGTTTGTAGTCTGGTAGTATAATGTTGTAGTTAACATGGTGATGATGGACCCCTAGAATACTGATAATGTTCAATCTCAACTGTTTTTAGTGGCTGACGGTGCACATCTTCACAGTCAAAGCTAACAAAGATGAACTCTGAACTGTGTCCATTCGAGCTGACTGAAGCACTGAAACAGGAAATGCATGCTTGAATTAGTCTGTCTGCAGGCGTCTATGGAAGTAAATGGGAGACAGAGCGAATGTTTGTGTGGTGGAAGTGCAACCGTTCTTTAAATCATTTGCTAATTTGTGTGTAGAGTTGTGAATATGTATTTCAATCTGTAAATGTGTATTTGGATTTGTAAGTGTCCTTAATTCAACTGTGTCTACTAATTTGCTTTGCCAAATATCTGATGCGGGAACAATAATTGCTGCCCTAATTACATTCATTGGCAATGTATCTTCCAAACCAGAAATGTGACATCCCTATAGGTCACAGAGGTCATAAGGAGGAGATGAACTGATGTGTGTACAAAGCACAGGGTTTTCACTCTACTGACAACCACATTCAACCAAGCCTACGATCTTCCTTTAACCTTAACCAAGTTTGGCTTGCCCAAACATTACCAGAAACGTGTTAATCATTTTTCATTCAGTAAGAACATTATATTCAATGTAAATATTTTCGCATTATGTTTCCATTGTGCTGATTTGTTGTAAATGAAGGGAATTTTGAGGAGATGGGGTTGCTAATTTAATTGTGTATAAGAATCTGTAAAAAAAAAGAAAAGTACACTGAGATTTGTGAGTGTTCCGGAAGTTGGACGTAGTCTTCAATTTATGAATGTGTAAAATGATCTCTAGATGTGTACTCAAATTTGCAAATGCACTTTAGTGAATTGTGATTATGTAATTTTATACTTAGAGTCATAAGTGTACTTAAATTTGCTCTCAGATTTGTGGACTGGTAAAATGGTCAGATGTGTAAGAGTACTTAAATTAATAATAATGTAAAACAATCAGGAAATTTATACTGAGATTTGTACACTTTTACTCTGATTTGTAACACACATCTTAGCAAGCTCGCCTGCTAGCTGGCTAACATTAGCTCCTGTAGCTGGCCCCCGAGTGAATACCAGTAACTTCTGGAATAATCCCAGAAGCCACTTTGTCTTTAGCAGCGTGACTGAGCCCACATTTACATACAGATTGAGATTGAGGTTCATGACTTTACAAAAACACTTCCAAATGATTTAGGTACAAACTTGACTTCTGAAAATACACACAGAGAGAGAGAGAGAGAGAGCCACCCCACCCACCACACACACACACCCCACCACACACAGAGAGAGAGAGAGAGAGAGACACACACACACACATAATCACATTCACACACACCTTCCAGCCCAGAGTGTCATGCATGTAATAAAGTATGTGTGTAGAGCCTGATAAACCATAAAAAAGCCTATCTGCCACCTTGCATAAATCAGATAGCTGCAATTTATGCCCTTGGAGCAAATGTTTACGTTACTGCTTTGAAATGCCGCCGCATAATTACCGTCTCTGCATCTATTCCACAGAGTGGCTCCAGGTCACAGCCAGGCTCTGCCACAGCTGCGGTCAGTGATTAAGTCTCTGGCTGCATTTCAAATAATACACAATCCTTCCATACTTACTTCCTTCCTTCCATCATTCCTTTCTCATTCTCTCCCCCTCTTCCTTCCTTCCTTCCTTCCTTCCTTCCTTCCTTCCTTTCATGCGTCCTTTCATCCTCCCTTCTTAATCCAATCAATTTCTGCTCATTGTCTACAGGCAAAGCTGCTATTTCTTATTTTGAAAAATATATTCATTTATCAGTCATCAATACATCCATAATGTAACTTTAACTTAATCTTAATTTAATCCAATTTAATCTAGCTAAACACAACCTGTAACCCTCAAATATATGTATATCCTCACTTTAAAACTTTAAAAATATTCACAAAGAAGTACAGAAAGAAACATACTAATGAGTCAATACAACTTTTTATTCACACCATAATTGGGGTAAAACAAAATAAGGTTATCAGGTTTATCCAAAGACGCATATTTCAGTGAGAAAGGTTTTTATCAAATGCCTGCAGACGACAGATTTCCCTCTACCCTGCCCTCTGTATGAATAAAACAATGCTGGCGCAGGCCCTGTATAACCCTACTAACTCTCTCACCAGCCGTAAAAGGGAGAAACAGATCCTGCAAACATATTCTAATATGTTTTGGTTTCCTGAAATCACGACTCATGCCTCAAAGCGAAATTTGCATTCATCAAAATTCATTTGCCTATTCTCGCATTCTTCTGCATTTCATTTTGTTGGCCTAGTTAACAGGAAACCAATTCATAGATGATGTTTATGACACGATCATGTGGAGAGAGAAAAACATTTTCAACACATTTATGAGGCAGACTTTTACATTTTAGCAATAAATCGTTGGACGTTTTAAGGATTGTTTTGGTATTTTCAAAATGATCATAAAACTGGAAAAAGTTAGGAGACTGGTCGATCACCATAGCTCTAAAGGCTGAGAAACTTCTTTGGCTTTTACGCACTGGACAGAAACTCCACTGCCTCGTTGCCGACTCCTCAGCTGAATAAATAATACAAACTTATTGAAAAGCGTTTGATTGAATCATCAACCAAGATGACTCTCCAGGCACAGACGCGCGTAAATCTCACACTTATCATCGCCTACTCTTTTAAACAAAACGATCTAAAATCCTTTATATGCATCTGAACCACCATTATCTTAAAGCCTACCTGGCATATAGCCTACATACCTCGCGCCATCAAACCCACGAGAAGAAGCACCAAAGTCCATCTCGCCGCCGGCTGCATCTCTCTCCCGTGACGCTTGGGGATTCTCTTCACTTTTTTCTGAAGGAACTCTGTCGGTTGAATCGACGAATGGAAGAAGTAACGTGAAATGAAAACGTGCGTCTCTCCCCTGGTGCCGTTTGTCTCGCTCTGCCGGTGCGCCTGCCGGTGCGCTCTTTCCCGATCCGATCCAAACTTGACTTCGCTCGTCCCTCCCCTATGAGCGCAAAGCTCCCCTCTGGCGCATCCATACGGACTCCACACAGGGAGGGGAAAACCGCCCTAACAATTGCTGTGAAGCATTTAAGGCGTAATTTGTCAGGAAGACCAAATTAATATATAAAATGTAAGCTGAATTAGAGGAGGAATGTTTGGCACTGGTGTCTAAAGGCAAGTGCCGCGCACATTATGGTGTAGTTGTTTTAGGTTTAAATACAGCAAAGACGGTGTAAAATAGCCAAATGTCCCTTTTTGTTTTGTTTGTGGCCGAGCCGGATTGGTCAGTAATCATTACTAATGTAATGTAATTACTAATTACCTTTTGGTCAGTATTCAGGTGCTGGGCTTTTATATTAAGATCTTCAGCTCATATAGACGCGTTAGAAAGTTTTTCTGTGATGTGAAATGCAGGGCTGAATGATGTGTCGCTCCTGGTGTTTGTAGACAGCGACGCAGCTGACTTCAGCACCACGGACAGCGGCAGTGAGTTTAGAGCTGTCTGTGGTGCTGAAGCTGCGCACTTAGGCGTGCTTACTTTATTTAGAGGGATATTTTATATATTACTAACATTTTACACCATGTTTGGTCGCATTTTCAGACACTGAAATGCATCTTACTGAAGCACATGTCAGTGTATCCTGATGAGTTAAAGTACAAGACGTGCATTACTCCAGACTCTTTGCTAAATCCCAGATTAGAGAGAGACCGTTTAGCGTGTTGTGTCTGTTCCCAGCCGCTAAACTGCAGCACCGCGCTGCGCTGAGGAGGAAAGTTGAGCTGCTCGCAAACGTCGTTTCTGCCTCATTGAGAAGCGCCCCTCGTATGATGTGCTTCCCAGGTGCCTGTTTACCAGCCCTCCGGATGGCGCTGATTAAGTTTAATTTTAGCCCGCGATTTTCCACGCATGGTTTGACGTCATCAAACAAAGTAATTAAGGGAGTAATGCTCAGCCGGGCTGAACTGAACCGAGCCGACGCAAAACCTTCAGTGACAGACACACACACACACACACACAGAGAGAGAGAGAGAGAGCCTTTACCTTCACTCAGACTTTGTGCCTTATTCGCACTTGATTATTCATGGACACACACACTCCCACAAACACACACACACACACACACACACAAGCATATGCGTATTGTACCGTTTGCTGACATTGATAAATTGGAACTCTTGTGATCACAACCTCCTGTTGATCAAGTTCTGATTAAGTTAATTAATTTTAATTTTTCATTATTTGATTTCCTTTTAATTGTCCCTACAAGTTTATCAGCCAATTAAGATTTGTTTTTTATATATATATATTTGTGAGACATAATACAATTTTAGAACAAAAAGGTGTAGTCCCTATTTAAAAGATCATGAGCAAAAAAAAAAAAAACATTCCAAAAAAAGAAATGCTAATACCAGTCACTTCAGTTAGAGGTGTTGGGACTTGTGCCCAGTAGGGCTGATAAGTATTCACCCACGTTGACTAGTTTGTTGTCTATCAGATCTTGCAAATGCATTGTAGATGTTCCAGTATGGTGAACTGTTATGTTGAATACATACATGAACTATTATCATTGAAAAAGTACCATAGTTTGTCCAGTTTTTGTTTTGTTTATGTGTTTTTATATACTGCACCCCCTGATATCGGGAATACATCAACACTCACATCACTGAGCCATATACATCTATTATGACCAGATTTTACTTTACTTTACTTTACTTTAACTGAATATTATCTTTTGAATTAATTACCAAGATAACAAAAACACTTTAGGATGAGACTGGATGAAACAATGAGTGAAACAGCTGAATGAGTGGTTTTTTGCCTCAGGTGAAACTCTACCAGATGTGACATGTAGGATATAAATATCCTCTGAATATATAGGTGTGTGCATAGGTGTGTGTATACTGGGGCCTATACACGCACACTTTATGTCAAGACCTTCACCCTTCGGCCATATCAGCCAGGATAAACACGATCAACCTTCACAACAATAGTGTTGTCACAACAATCAGTATTCTCTCATTTCAACACGAGTACAACCATCAAAACATTGTGCATTTCTCCTTCTCTTCTTTATTTTGATTTAGACACTGGAAGGAGTTTACTGTTACAGAGCCCAATTCCTGCAGACAGGCATCGCATAAAAAGGACAGATGAAGAAAAAGTAGAATAAGCACAACGGGGATAATGTGTTTTTCCTGTTGCTGGTGTCGCCATCTGACAAGTGCTGAGCTCACAGTGTGGCGTCATGACACGCTTGTCTTCGCCAGCCTTATTAGTGAAGCGGTTTAGAGGAGGAACTAGGTGAGAATCAATGTTTCTGCCAGGACTGTTTAGCGTGACGCACCATAGCTGCTCTGCCCGGGGCAATGTTTAATTCATGTTTTTCCTAAAAGCTGGATGCACAGAGTCAAAAAGCCCATTAGTGTCATCCTCTTCTCTCTCCACAGCGTCATCTCTCCATTTTCACTTCTTCTCCTCTCAGCCATTGTCCCAACAATACACCAACTTTCTTTATCAATCACTCTGTGTCCTACTTTTCATTCTTTCGTTTTCAGTTTCACTAGATTTTCCTTATTTGTTCAATATATTTCTTTCTGACCCCCTTCTCCTTTCACCTCACATACCTCGAGCATGCCTTTTCCCCCTGCACCTGCTCTCATTCATACAGCGTACACTGGTGCCATCTTTCTGCCTCAAGTGAAACACAACACATAAAAATATCCATCTCCCTCGCTAGAACTTTTAGACCATCCTGAATTATTCACATCCACATATCTGCACCACATCTCCTGACCCCGAGAGAAGTGCTTTTATTTTCAACCCCAAGTAATGAAATCTGGATGGCCTTTTTTATTCTCCCTGGCATGATCGTCTCACTGAGGTGGGTTTAATGGAGCGGAGGTGATCAGAGGCTTCTGGAAGCTTCCAGGAGGCAGGGAGGTGGATATCATGTCATCCGTATATCGTGAGAAAAGATATAACAGTGGTGGTAAAGAGGTCATGGGTTGCAATATGGACAGAGCTTAATGCATGCCTACCAGAGAGGTTCAGTGCTGCTGCATCCAGGAAATCATCATCAGTCGACTCACCTAACAGTGGCCTGTTCTACAAATGGCTGCACCCTCATGCAGTGCACAACACAAGTGAAATGCATCATGGTATTACAATACATGCACTTAAGAAAGTTGAATACAGTTTTGACTGTCCAAATATTCTTTCTACTTTTAGTGCAAAGAGCCACATGAGCTAAAAGCTGCATCCCCCAAACCCTTTTCTTAGGCTACAAACAGAGGCGGGGTTATTGCATGCATCACATAGACATTGTTTTTAATCATTGCATCATTTTGTGTAACTTCTCCATAGTGACTTGAACATACGGCGTCTCTACACTGATCAGACAGTTTATTACTGTGGGTGCACCATGCTAGAGTTCATCAAGTGTAATCCAATGCAAAAGTCGTTATATTGGATTGCGTTGCAACAGCCTCCAAACTGATAAGAGAGTTTAATCAACATCTCTCTGATATGGTCCCTACAAAAGCTGAATACAAGGTAGTACTTTTTTTGTCAAGGCTGTTGTTTTGGATTGTATTAGCTGGAGGTTAACTTGACTGCGCCCAAAGGTTTGTTACACAGAACCATCTGTTGTCATTGGAAACTAAAAAATCTCACGAAAAATGAACAGGTATGTTCCGGTGGTCCCTCCCCTTCTGCTATGTAGCGAAAATGGCGGCCACTGAGCGTGAGAAGTGTCCAATGTTCCACACTCAACTTTTTGAACGTTGGCTCATAGTGCACTGCATTTTTCCACACTCGACGGTGTGAACGCACTTATGTACTCAAAATAGTTAGTGTATGTATGGACGTATTCAGGAAGTGCCCACCCCCGTAGCTGCCAGTACTTCCTCAAAGAAGGCTTATTTGAATGGTACAAATGCACAGATTGAATCGTGGCCATATGGATTCTTGCACGATCGTGTGATTTTGTGATCCAGCTGCAAGGTTAGATGGAGATATGTATATCAAATAAACTAGCAATGTATTTGACAAATCAGTTTGTTTCAGACCTGGAGCCAGTTGCACCAAATGGGGGTGCCCCAAATACCAGCTTGATTCATCTCGTTATTTTCTCCCAGTCTGCTTGTTTCCCAATACTAATACTAACCGGTCATTTCAGACCCTGTCACTTGCCTGCATGACTCTGCCTGAACCTTGAACTCCTTTTGTCTAATCCCTGCCTGGTTAAGTCTGCCTTTCTTTCCTGACTTCCCTTCCCTTTTTAACAAGGGAAGACAAACTTTTATCTTTATCTTCTTTGCTTCTGGGTGGTGCTTTAGCTACCTTAACTGAGATATTACAGAGGGATTCACAGGAAAACGATGCAGCATGGAATCCAGCACAATTTAATCTCATTGCTAACAGCCTCACTATTTAAACTGACTTTACTGTGCTCTACTGTAATTTGGAAACCTATGTTGCGTACAGCATAAATACAGACCCCGGTTTCAATTATTAGGGACTTCATCTTAATTCAGATTATTGTAAGGCAAAATGCTCTACTGGAATTAATGAAAAAGACAAGACTGTGGTTGTAATTGTGCATCTCCTAAATGTGAACATTGCACTTTAAACAAGTCACTTTTCCAAAGATCTTTCTCACTGTTTTAGTGTAAATAAATATGTTGAATGGTCGTTGACAAAGACAATGAACCCCAAAGTGCACTCAAAATAAGCACGGAGAACAAAACACCATATTAATGTGGCTTTTTATTGCTTCTCTGATGGTTTAATGGCAGCCATTGAATCTAAAGTCTTTAAACCCAACCGGTCGAGACAGACGGCCGCCCACCTAGAGCCAGGGTCTGCTCTGCCTCTTAAAAGTACGTTTTTCCTTGCCACTATCACCAAGTGCTGCTTAAGGTGGGAAATGTTGGGTCTCTGTAAATAATTTTATCAGGAGTATAGTGTAGACCTGCTCTATATGAAAAGTGAGCAAACTTTTGTATCCTGTTTTTCTCAAACAATGTGAAAAATAAAATAATGTGAGCATCATCACACATCAACACTTAAGCAAAGTGTATATTCAGTCCAAGAGAAGCATAGAAATTCTAATTTGATAATGATATGAGGTCTGCCAACAGAAGCAATCTTGTTCTTGAACAAAGGATTATCAGCTTAATACACACACATACAGATAAATGACAGGTGGAAGAGCACATACACACACCTACACAAACACATCTGTTCATTTGTCTGATTAAGAAAAGCAATAATCTGATTGACTCTGCCCACGTACAACTACAGCTTTAAAGTGTGAGTGCACCTGGGTGTGCAGTACACCTACATAGGGATGATTTACATCAGAAGCAGGAACTATATTTTACATGGGAGCAAAAAGCGGTCACACACACACAGAAGTACACACTTGCTGGTTATGCAAAACAAATTTCCCCTGGGACGGTAAATGTCATATGGTCTGGTGCATG